CGTGTTGTGCCGCCCTTTTTTCTTACCCCCCTTTTTTTTTGTGCAATTCCTCATGCGGGGCTGGCGCGGGGCCCGGCAGCGCCGCTTTCTCCTGGTCCAAGAGCCGGGAATGCCATTCCACAGGGCCTGGCCAAGGTGCTGGGAAGGGCCTGGTGATCTGAGCATCCCTTCCGCATCCCTAAAACTCCCCAAAATCCCAAATGGGATGTTGAGTTTGGAGGGCTGGGAGGTGGGCCATGGGGCTGCGGCAGGGCCGCTCATCCCACTCATCCCGCTCGTCCCGCTCATCCCGCTCGTCCCGCAGGCGTTTGCGGCTGTGCTGGGAAGGGCCTGGTGATCTGAGCATCCCTTCCGCATCCCTAAAACTCCCCAAAATCCCAAATGGGATGTTGAGTTTGGAGGGCTGGGAGGTGGGCCATGGGGCTGCGGCAGGGCCGCTCATCCCACTCATCCCGCTCGTCCCGCTCATCCCGCTCGTCCCGCAGGCGTTTGCGGCTGCTGTGGCGCCCTGCGGCCCCGCTACAAGAGGCTCGTGGACAACATCTTCCCCGAGGACCCGGAGGTGAGCGTGGCCACTCCGCTGGGATGTCCCGTTCCCTGCCATTGCTCCCGGAGCCCGGCTGCTCCGCCGGGCTGCTCGGATGCTCGGGATGCCCCGTTCCCTGCCGTTGCTCCCGGAGCCCGGCTGCTCTGCCGGGATGCTCGGGATGCCCCCTTCCCTGCCGTTGCTCCCGGAGCTTGGCTGCTCTGCCGGGATGCTCGGGATGCCCTGTTCCTTGCCATTGCTCCTGGAGCCTGGCCACTCCACCGGGATGCTCGGAATGCCCCGTTCCTCGCTGTTACTCCTGGAGCCTGGCCACTCTGTTGGGATGCTCGGAATGCCCTGTTCCTTGCCGTTGCTCCTGGAGCCTGGCTGCTCAGCCGGGATGCTCCAGATGCCCTGCTCTCTCGCAGGATGGCCTGGTGAAGACCAACATGGAGAAGCTGACCTTCTATGCCCTGTCTGCCCCGGAGAAGCTGGATCGCATCGGCGCCTACCTCTCGGAGCGCCTCATCCGGGACGTGAGCCGGCACCGCTACGGGTAAGGCCACATCCCGCCCTGCTCCCTGCTGCTTTGCCGGCTCCTCCGGAGGCACCCGGTTGCTCCCGGCATTCAGAGGCGCCCCAGGGACGAGCGGTGCTGCCACCGCGGCCATGGGTGCCGCTTCCAGCCTTCTTCCCAAGGAAAAGCAGCGGGATACTCCGTGCGGACTGTTATTCACCTCTCAATACCCTCTTTCCCCATTTTCCTCCACTCTGCGCCAGTTTTAACCCAGTTTCACAGGCGGGTAGGAGACTCGGAGATGCAGAAACCCGGCTTAATTTTGCCGTACCGGGAGGAGCTGCAAGGTCCTAAGCTCAACCATACTCCGAGACACCAGAGAATCCCCTGACATCCCACCTTTCACCAGCCTTTTCTTGGGAGGGGGTGAAGCTGGGGGGTCTTCCCAGAGGATCCCAGTGCCGGGAACGCGGCCTCGCGCGGTGCCGGGGCCGGTGACAGCGGCGGCTCCCGC